AAATTTTCGATAGTAGTTAAGTCAGTGCGCGTCTTTTTCAGAATGATTTGCCGACAAGACCGGAGCAGCAAACAAAACTTCTTGGCCCCAATGGAGCAAATAAAACAAATGATCAACAGCGAACTGAGGTACATTCCCGATTCCTAGTGCTAATGATAATGATAATGATAGTAATAACGGTAATAATAATAGCGATGGTAACAATATGAATTCTGTGTTAATGATATTACTGGGATTCCCCCACGTACCGGGCATAATTTTATTCGGCATTTCGACCCTAGGTTGAATAGTACCTATCGTGTCCGATTTATGCGTGTCGTCTTTGTGGGGCCAGCCGAGTGGTCGTTTACATTTTCTTGGTGCTGTTGCTAGAGTTCGACGCCCATCGTTCGTCGGCAAGGCAGTTAACGGGTTTTACATTTTCCGTGATCGCGATGATATTCTGCATGCCGCTCATCTACGGTCTGATTGTTTATTTGGTCACGAAGAGACGTCGCAAGCATCTTCCGTTCCATCGCTTCTTCGTTACAACCAGCGCTCGCTTTTCAACTTTCGTCAGCGATCATGTTTCACATTCGTTTGTCACTGTTTTCAACACGGTATTGCTGGAGACGACTTTTGGTTCAGTACTTTGGGGAGCATCGTTGTTTTAAAATCTGCTCAGACTGACAGCCTTTCTACTTGCAAAACAAAAGGAATATCGGCGGGAGCAAAATTTAGTAATGGCTGTCGAATCCTTACTGTTGGTTTGCAACTGCGTTGCGAGTATACCGGGATTTTGCATCAAATAGGCGTAAATAAGATACGAAGTCTATTCCTGGCACCATGCTTCGATTTCACTTCTAAAAATGAATTTAAGGTTGTGGAGAGGCGCACTGTGATTGCTTATCCCTTAAATCCAACAGCTGCGCCAAACGAAACTAATAAGGAATCATCATCAAATGTATCATCCGAGTCGCCAGAAAAATCAATGCAGCAAGAAGAATTCGAAAGAAGCAACAAAAAGAATCAAGGTACCAATTCATCTGAACAAACTGATAAAGCATTCCAGTTGAAGCCTGTTGTGGATAAGGTTTGTAGAAGATCAAGCTTTTAGAGGGGTGAAGCTTCCGTGAAACGAATTATTTCAATCTATAGAGACTTCGTAGGATGAAATTTGTGTTGTAAGTTCCGTAGCAGGAATTCTCCTTGAAGACAGCTTGATTCTTCTTAGAAAAAGGGCTGTATTTGAAGGACAGAAAAATAACATAGCTCATCTTAAGCAGAATTAGAATTACGTCGAAAGATCCTATTTAACTTGTATCTCCATAATGTCATATGAGAATTGGGTACCAACTGGAATACACAGCCCCGGATCAAAGAGCCTGGGACAGTTGCACCCGGAAGGCAAGAGCATCTCAGTGACATCACACTAACATGGGATATTCACACTGATAGTCCGAGTACACTTGAGTTTCTTGGTATACGTAGGATTTCCAATAATTCTACGATCATCTTTCGAGAGCAGGTTTATTCATTGCAGACGCGATTTATCTTGTTTCTGCAGTTTTTTCCATAACAATCTTTCCTTCCTCCAAAGCTTAAACTTTCGAATTTATGCAGTAAAAA